TCTTGAAATTAAATCTAAGCTTCGACAGAAGAGTCAATTAAATAGTGAATACCTTTGAATACAGGATATTCTTCTGAAAGCCCTTCAAATGGAAGACTTTTTTGTGAAGTAGCACACATAGCCATTCTAATGGTGGATTTAATCTGCCCAATGGGAAACATACCCTTTTCAAGTATTGATATTTTTTAAAAGAGATAAGGAAAACACTGAGAAAGATAACTTCCCTTTAGATTCAAATTATGTCTTCCATTCTAGACTTGAACAAGGCCTTCTCTTCTTTCAACATTCCCCTTCTGATATTCACAAGGCGAGAACATTGCCTCTTTCTTCAGCTCAACCTCCTTCATGCTCTTTCAATGTGCTGAAGATTTCAATGGCACTCTAGACCCAAGAAACCCCAATCGGATAAGATGAATGAGCTAGGATATGCTTTAAAGTAGAGAGTTTAGTGCTTTTACAGCAGGTAGTCTCTTTGTTTAGCTCAATTGGTTGTTAATTTCATATGTTTGAATTGCTTGGAATCCTCTCGTTGATACTTGGTCTCTGATTTCTTTCTTTCCAGCTGGGCCACGATGTAAGTAAAGTTTTTTCACTATTTATTTATACAATGGCATCACAATACTTGTTTGTCCCTTCTACCTGTTTCTTTTTTGCTCACATAACACAAAAGCAGCAGGGGGTAGTAGAATACAAGCAACTACACTTAATTCTGATCCTAGTGCAATTTCAGAACAGTTTAATTTTGATTATTCCATCTTGGCAAAATTGTGTTAGATACACTTCCATGCTTTGAGTAGATTAACTGAAATCAAAGAGACACCAAGAAATGATAACTAACATGTCTGATTGACATCTGTGGGACAACAATGCCTTAGTTTGCATAATAGACACATCATAATACCAGGAAAAGTGTTTGTACAGAAATATATATTAAAAATTGCTTATTGCTTACTGAAATTGGCTAGATGCAAGGTTAGCAGGTAAGGACTCGGGATTATATCGAGTTTGAGTTAGTTTTAGGCTCTGGATCTATCAATAACTGCCATTGCAATCATATGTCCAGGGTATCATAAAATGGCAAAATAACATATTTTGTGTTTGTAACTTGTTCAGCTGTAATGTGCTATTCAAACTCATTTCAAAGACAGGGTGTTCAGTATTCCTTCCAGCCTATTTTAGGCAAGCTTCTAAAGGCATTCAGAAGGAGAAAAAATGATTGTTAATGCCAATGTGACTCAATAAATTTCAAGATAATGCATTTTTATGGCTTAATTAAGCATTAATGGTATGTTCCTGAGCTGTGCCCAGAAGCAGTAGACAGAACTGAGTGAGAAATGGTTTTACTATATCTCCTTCTTTAGGCTGAATAAATTATAAATCCTGGGGAAGGGAGGTTGGCGCTGACAGCCCTTTTTGGCTCTCTTTTGGGAATTATTTGTAGATGCTATTAAATCAACACAAGCAAATTTTGTCAATTGGAGAGAGCGGGCATTTAAATGATGTTTCTAAGCTATTTCATCCCCAATATCCATGTTTTCCAAAACTCCCAGATTTATAACAAAATATGTCAAAGTGAGGAGGAATGGTTTTTAGTGTTGTTTCTGCCGTAACATAAAAACTACCACATGGCTGCACATTAGTTGCATGCTGCTATGCAGCTGAGCTGTGAAATCCAAATAGCAGGCAGGAGCAAGCGATGGTGCAAATGAACTGCACAGGGAGTGAAATATTCCCACTGCTGGTTCCTCCTCGGCTCTCTTGTTCATGCTTCAGTTCAATCCAAGTACCACTTGGGACTTTCCTCTCACTTTTAGTTGAATCACAGCAGTAGGATCCAGTCACCAGAGAATGGATATATAGCCTGAGCTTTAGTCTGATTCCAGTCAATCAAATAAAAGTGGAAAACAAAGAAACCTGCCAGGTCACCTTTAACTCATAAGGCCAGAGGTGTGAAGAATCAGAACTTACCAGGTCCATTGTTTATTATTGATTAAGGATGTGAAAACCTGTCTGTTTTAATTTTTCTTCTCACAACCTCACTGACATTCTTGTCCTTTCCAACTTCCGTGCCAAATCTTGATGTATTATTAACTTAATTTCATTTATATCCCATCTTTTTTCCCATGGTTTACAGCATAAAATAAGGAAATATTTTTAAAAGTTAAAATATAATAACAAAATATTGAAAACAAATCAATTAAATAAACTGTGCTCATAAAACACTGGCTGGGAATTCTGGGAGGTGTAGGTCAAAACACCTGGGGACCCACAGGTTGAGAACTACTGTTCTAATATATCCTCACCAGAAAGCCCTCTTTTAGGGATCTCAAAACTCAAACCAGTTCATAATGGAAGAAATAGCCTTTGAGATAATTATTATCTAATCTGTATTGGACTTTATAAGTCATAACTAGTACTCTCTATTTTGCCCACAAACAAGCTGCCATGGGCTCTTGGTATCTGCTGGTGTTTCATTTCAGGATCATCTGTGGATGCCATACTCATGTCAATTTAAATACAATGTCCCTTGGATAAAAATGATCCAGTCTATTTCTTGCCTGGAGCCTTCGACCAATAGGGAGAATAGCACTTTCATATTCAGGTTTGCTGAAACACTGAGCTGGAGACTGCCAGGAGGTAAATTTCAGGCTTGTATTGAGCACCAAGATTAATATAGTGAAGTACAAAACCAAGACCAGTTTTAAAATTGGAAATACGATCAATCACTACATTGACCAAGGCATAAAAGCGTTGCATTTAATATATGATGTATTCTAAGGGGCAACCCCACCCTTTTAGGAGATGACAAATTGCTGCATTAGCAGGAGAGAAATACAGCCATAGACAGAGAGAAGCATTCCAGCAACTGCTGTTGTGGCCAACAAAGTCCGCAAGAAGGCAAAATGTCAGAGCCATTTTGGGAGAAGGCCAATTCAAGGAGGCTCTGGGGTTCTTAGCCACTGTAATTATTGATCGTCTCTATGTGAGATATTCTCTTACTCAGTCATGAGGGATGGGAAATGCTTAATAAAAATGCAATTTTACCTTCATCATCTTGCCATCATGCTAGGATGGTAGGCTTGTAAAACATGGCAATGACTATTATGCTAAACATAGGAATAAAGAAATAAGCTACACTGAAATAAATCAGAATTCTCTGCTTTTTGAAAGAATACTAAAGAAGATTAAGATCAGGTGTAGATTACATTAGTGGCCTGGCACTTCAGGATTCTTTGTACAATGCAGTGTATATATTAGTTTACAGAAGTATTTGCAAGAATATTTGGCAGAACCAAGAGGGCTTAAAACAAAAACTGGATTCTCTTTTGAAATCATATTTCAAATGAAATAGCAAACAGTAGCTAGATGCTGGGAGAAGTACTGTTGCATTTTACATTAGTGTAACCTGAATAGCTGATTATGAGAGATCCTAGAAGTTGCAAATAGAAGCAGATTACCCCATGCTGAGACTTTTAGGTCATGGTAAGAAAAAACAAATTATGAGATATGTTTATTTAGACTCCCCATAAATAGAAATTGAAAGCAGTAGTGTACTTGTATGCTACTGTAGCACTGATTGGAGTTCAATATTTGGAGATATTGGCTGCCCATCCCTAGCTGACTTGGATTCAAGTGACAAAACTTTTTGAGAGATGCTCAGAACTATCATACAAGCAACTTTTTTTTAAAACTTGTGTTTAGTCTCTATGATTCTTCCTGCACTCTTGCCACTTCATCACACAGAGAAAGGGAAGTGTGCAAGGATGCTTCCAGGACTCTTCCTTGACGGAGCCCGCGGTATGCCATCACATGATGTAAGGCTACTTCCAGGGGGCTCTACTGAAGAAGTGTCTTGGCAGTGTGCTTGGAAGCTTCACAGAAAACATTCTGAAGAATGGGGGGAAGCCGGATGGCGATGCTTTACCCCATGTGATGGGGAAAGCAGCACAGGGAGCAGTGCAGAGCATGGAGCAATGGTTTCCCCCCCGCTGCCCCTCTGGATTCACCATGATGCATGATGAATCTCCCTGCTGCTGCCTGTCTAATTGACTTCAGTGTAATGAGCTCCTATAGTAACACTATCAGTTACGAAGGTATGGTAATTCCAAGAAATGCATCTATTCCTAGTTTGGAAAGGACTATGTAGCTGTCGAAGATGAGAGCCTACTAAGAGGGAGGAAAGATGCAACTAACCAATAACAAATCTATTATTTCCAAATTTTCCTTTTTCCTTCCCTTTCCCCCCACCCCACTCTCTTAGTAAATGTTTTATAAAAATTATTGGGGGGGGGGGGAAAGAGGGAGGAAAAAGAGAAGTGATAAATCTAATTCAATCCCACAAAAGGTGAATGAATACCCAAACATCTAAAACCAGAGTTCAAGAACTCATGGCTCTTTCATTGGATTTCCAATTTCCCTTCTCTCTCCAGTTTTCGCTTATTTTAATGTCAAAACATTTTGTCAAATTTATGAAGAAATTGAAAATTAATGAATCCAAAGGGACCAACAGTTGTGTCACCACGAGGCAGTTTTTCTAGTAATGTCATTTCTGGTGCTAATTCATGTCTCTAGGACAGTGGCTCTCAACCTGGGGTCCCCAGATGTTTTTGGCCTACAACTCCCAGAAATCCCAGCCAGTTTACCAGCTGTTAGGATTTCTGGAAGTTGAAGACCAGAAACATTTGAGGACCCCGAGTTGAGAAGCACTGTTCTAGGAAGAGCCAATTTCTGGTGGTAATGCAGTCTTGATGCACTTTTGGGCTGCTGGATACATAGATGGTCAAAGAACTTCTGGGGCTGCATTGGAGCTTTTTTAAACAGAATTTTTGTGTAGATGTAGACACACTCAGAGCATGATCTCTCCTGAATTTTTTTGTTCTCTTTAACCTCAAGTTTCTAATGATAGTTTTAGTTCCTTGTCTACTTCAGGGCCACATACTCCATGCTTTTTGTGTGTTTTTTAAACCTTTAATGTGGAAACTAAACTTGTTTTCATTTAGTCTCCTCTGATGTCCACTTTTCAGTTTTACAACAGCAACAGGAAGCTGCCATCAAGCTTTTTTGCCTGGAACAGGCCTTTGAATTGGTCACTCTTTATTAATAAACGTGAAGTGACTCAGGACTTCCGGCTCCCTCCTGGTGTCTACGTCATCGTTCCCTCTACCGCAGAACCTCATCAGGAATCAGAGTTTCTTTTGCGGGTCTTCTCCAGGACTCACATTCTTCAGTAAGTGGTGCTGTTTGGCTTTGCAACTATTTTCATGATATTGTGGATGCAGTTTGTGTGTGCAGACGATTGTTGCCACTACATTGGTGAAGGAAGTAAAACAGTGGAGAAATAGGCTGTTTGGAACCAGCTGATTTTGTCTTTTTGGAAGCAGACATGACTCCACCATGCCTATTTCTTTATAGAGATATTGACGTTTCTTAGACATCTGTCCACTAACTTGATAGCTGAAGTTTCTTTGTTTCTTTGTTTGTTTGCTGTTTCGGCCATGTTAGTTCTTGTAAACAGTATTGTCCAACAAGCAGGTCGCTTTAAGAACATCCACTATTTTGGAATGTTAAGATACTTTATAATCAGAGAATAAGCAGGAGGCTTGATAATCTTTCTTTCTGAAAATTAATCTGCAAATTCAACTTGGGAAGGACCAACATCTCTCATAGACACCGTCTTGTCATAAACTTTTCATTCTTAGTCTCATGTTTATTGTCTCTTACACACCTTTTATAAAGGAATTTCAATACATAATGGGCATTGCAATGTATGTATTATCATATATATAAGCCTTATCTTTCCTTTAATATAAGAAAAATATTTGATATGTTTATTTAAATGCACTTGAATATATAAATAAATTTAATACAGCCTAAAAGTTGATCGCGAGAGAAATGGCTTTCGTTTTGTTACCAGCGTTATAGGAGACTGCTTGGTTTCTATCAAGTTCATGATATTTTCTAGCAGGGGCTGGTACTTTCTGCCTGACCATCACTCAGTCAGTTTAGTCAACTTTTATTACTTGCTCTGTCCAGTCAAATCAATGTTCTTCAAGAGAATTAAAGGCCACTGTCTTTCCTTTTGGCTCTCTGCCAGCAAGCATAATTAAAATGATTTGCACCTGGATGGTTTTTCTTTTTTCCCCTCTATAAAACTGGTAATTTTCTATTGATACTTAAATGATCACTGTTTATAGTTAACCAAGCATGATACACAGTCAGTTGTAACTAGAACAATTCTTTTTGAACCCTCAACAGTTCCAATCCATTAATTGGGACATATCATTTATAATCGAGTATAAGCTGACCCAAACATAAGCCGAGGCACCTAATTTGATCACAAAAAAACCTGGGAAAACAGATTGACTTGAGTATAAGCCGAGGGTGGGTAATGCAGCAGCTACTGGTAAATTTCAAAATAAAAATAGATACCCATAAAATTCCTTTAATTAAGGCATCAGTAGGTTAAATGTTTTTGAATATTTACATAAAACTGTAATATAAGATGACTGTCCAACTCTGATTAAAAATTATTATAACTGTCTTCAATGTAAATGTGCTTACGTATCCTTCCAATAACAATAAAGTGAGTAAAATAATAAATATAATAATAATAAAGTAAAATAATGGAAATGTAATAATAACAGTAATAATAGAGTAAAATGGTAAATATAATAATAAAAATAATAAACTAATAAATGTAATAATAATGATGATGATAATATAACAACAGAGTAAAATAAGAAATAACCTTGACTCAAGTATAAGCTGAGGGAGACTTTTTCAGCCTAAAAAAGGGGCTGAAAAACTAGGCTTATACTCGAGTATAGTTATTTTAAACTCTTGACACTTTGCATTGGGCTGGAGGTTTAGCACACTGGTAAATCACCAGCAGCTATAAGATTTGTCAGCCAAAAGGTTGCAAGTTTGAAGCCCCTGGTTGGCATGAGATGCCGACTGTCAGCCCTGCTCACTGTTTACGTAAGCAGTTTGGAAACAGCTTTAGCTGTAATTAGAGAAATTACATACCGCTAAAAGCAGGGAAGATGTTTTACAATGCCATTAAGAAAGAAGATCAGAAAATGCAGGGCGACCAAAAGCAAGGAGGAAGTCCTGATGGTTCTTTGTCATAAAGGATGAAGCGACAGCACCCCCATGGCTGGACCCGAGCCCAACCTTCCATGGCACAAAAACAGGTGGACACTGAGTCGAAACAACACACCTCCTTTCTGTTCTGTCTGTCTATTCATTGTCTATATAAAGCAGTATTGAATGTTTGTTGTGTATGTGTACTGTGATCCACCCTGAGTCCCCTTCAGGGTGAGAAGGGTGGAATGTAAATAAAGTGTTATTATTATTATCGTTCCTTTCTCTGAAATATAATCAAGATCACCTGCTATTTAGTGGTGGTCTCCCATCCATATCTAAGAGAGCTAAAATAATACTCTTAAATTGAAATTGTCATCACTGGATTTTAGAAATCCATGATCAGCATATCTGAGCAGAGAAACATTTTGCTGCTCTTCCTTCCTTCCTTTGGCTTGTTCAGCAAGATGGTTCTACTCTCTAATTGTGCTTCTTCATCTTCTGTTCAAAAAGTGAATTAGGTGGAGATTCAAGCTGTGTCCTTTCAAAGGTGAGTTGAAAAGAGGAACTATTGCATTTGACTTCCTCTTTGCTTGGCTTCTCTCTGCTCCTCATTCTGCCGGATGTGCTCTCAGAAAGACAGCTTTCTTCACAGCGGAGCCAATCAGCAGAATACAACAGGTTAAGCTCTCAAATGGATTTTTTTATTGTCAGCAAAAACTTGAAGGCCCACTTAGGGGTCTAAATGGCAGAATCTACATTTGCAGAGAAAAAAATGGCAGTTCCTGCTGCGTGCTTTTAAAGGAATGGTGAAGGGGTGAGAGGAGGTATAATGCACTTGACTTTTTAATGCAGTATTGGCACTGGCTTTTTCAAACACACACACACACACAAACTTCACTAACGTACAGTGAATATTTCCTTTGAATACACTCCTGACAGCTGGCATTTAGCCTGTCGGGTGAAAAGACTGAAAGCTGAAAGGGTCAAGACTACTTATCCCCAAGAGGCTGACCACTCTCTAGACATCTTGGGATGACAGCCAGTGCCTTCCATTTGTCAGCAAGAGGGATTTGCAGCAGTCTTGACCCTTAGCAACTGTCCGGGCCTTTCCTGCTTGATTAAGCCAAGTGCATTTTTCTGGGATGAATTTCATTGGCAGTTTATTCTCTTGTCGCTAAACCTTTATAGTGCAGGTGGCTTGGCTTATTGATACCATGCAAATCCTTTCATAGCAGAGCCAAGGAGATCTGCTACAGAAGTAAATGTTAATTCTGTGCTTCTTATCTGCAGGAAATAGTGGACAAACACGAAGACTGGGAAGATGTCTTTGCTAAGTATTTTGTTAAAGTGAGTGTGTGCATGTATGGGTTTCCACAAAGGCTGCTCTTTTCACATTTGTTCATGTAAAAAGCAAAGTTGTATGTAAAAGAATTGGGGGAAGAATAGTAACTTTTTTGGACGATAATGTCAAGAAACCCCTTAAATATACCTTTTCGAGCTTCAGCACTCATCTTTTTTTTAAATTATTTTATTATTTGACACAAACAATCTAATATATAATCAGAAAATATACATTCAAAAATAATGAAATGTGTCTAGTTCTGTATTCAAATGACAACTTGTGCAAAATAAGTATAACAGACTTTACTATTCACTCAAATTTAAGACATTTTCAAAGCAAAATTTGGCTGCAGCTCTTATCTGATAAGGTAGATTCTGAGATCTATGGCTCAATACAGAAACTTTACCAAGCTTGGATATGCATGTTGGGTTATATGTGTATGTGTGTACATGTGCAGGCAGACATGTGGGTTTATTTCATGCCCAAACTGCTACTCATGCTATGCATGGCTGTTGAGATTAAAGGTTACTCACCGACACTACTGCTTTACTGTGAAATCTACTTTTCTAGATTTGGAGTAACATTCATTGCTTGCCAGATTTTAGATTATGTACTTGTATTCAGAAGGTGCCTTGCCCAGTCAGAAATGTCTCTTAGTTCATGCTGAGCAAGATTTTGATCTGAAATCTTAAAAAGCAATTGCCAGACTGGCTGAAGATTGTGAGTGCAGGAGCAAGCCAGGGGTGAATCAACACTGGGTTTTATTACAGGCTTTAAAAGAGTGATTTGACATTTTTGGTTGATTTTTTGGCCTAGGGTTCAGCACCCTGGATAGCTCCTGTAAAGTCTTGAATAAAACAAAGAGCAAATGTACTACACCCTTTATTTGGAAGCCATTGACTGACTCTTTATCACTATAGTGCAGTGGTTCTCAACCTTCCTAATGCCGTGACCCCTTAATACAGTTCCTCATGTTGTGGTGTCCCTCAACCATAAAATTATTTTCATTGCTACTTCATAACTGTAATTTTGTGACTGTTATGAATCGTAATGTAAATATCTGATATGCAGGATGTATTTTCATGAACTGGACCAAATTTGGCACAAATACCCGATCTTCCCAAATTTGAATACTGGTGGGGTTGGGGATCATTGATTTTGTCATTTGGGAGTTGCATTTGCTGAGATGTATAGTTTACCTACAATCAAAGAGCATTCTGAACTCCACCAACAATGGAATTGAACCAAACTTTACACACAGAACTCCCATGCCCAACAGAAAATACTGGAAGGGTTTGGTGGGCATTGACCTTGAGTTTTAGAGTTGTAGTTTGCCTACATCCAGAGAGCTCTGTGGACTCAAACAATGATGGATCTGGAGCAAACTTGGTATGGATCCTCAATATGCCCAAATGTGAACACTGGTGGAGTTTGGAGAAAACAGACCTTGACATTTGGGAGTTGTAGTTGCTGGGATTTATAGTTCACCTACAATCAAATAGCATTCTGAACCCCACCAACGATAGAATTGGGCCAAACTTCCCACACATCACCCCCATGACCAACAGAAAATACTTTGTTTTTTGATGGTCTTTGATGACTCCTCTGACCCCCCCCGACCCTCCCCTCCCCCAGGTCTCAACTCCCAGGTTGAGACACGCTGCTATAGTGAGTACTAAGTTAGGAGGTTTGACTTGGTGGAAGCCTGCTTCATATATATTAAGAGTGACCATATTCTGACTGAGTCATTGCCTCCTAGAAGAAAGGTAACATAAAAAAGTGGGGAGTGTGAAGAAGCAAAGTTGACATGCAGGTACTGGCATAATTTTTACACCACAGTGACAGAGTACCAATCTCTGGCAATGTTCCTATAGAGGAGGCTTCTCCTTTGTCTTTCAGTATGCAACAACATAGCTGCATTTTTGCCAACACTGATAGGTGACTGGAATCCACACGGCATATTCTAGTTCATTCTTCTGTGGTCCTCAAAAGCAATTGGAAAAACATGAATGAACTTCTGTAGCTTATCAGTGGCCAGAAAGATGATGTTACATACAGCAGTCCCTCAACAGTTTTTGAACAAGGCTGTGACAACCTTGCAGAAGAATGTATAGTCTGCTTTCTTCTGCAAGGTCTGAAAGAATATATATACACAGATGTAACCCTTACTTACACTCACATATATCATCAATGAGAGTTCAGTCCTTTTTGGTGAGTTAGTAAGGAACCATTACTCCTTTTTGACAGGTACTATATCCATTTGATGAAAAATGTTTATCTCTTATAGCATAAACAGTGCAAAACTCTGTTTTCTATAAACCGTCATATCTTTTTTAAAATGTATGTGTGAGCAACCCTCTATTTGATCAAAATGTTTAGAATTCATAACATGTATAGCTTCGATATTGCATAATTTTTTATCTCTATTGGTTTAGAATCCAAAAATGAATGCAGTTCAGCTGCAGAGGATCCTGAACCATGAGTCGTGGACTAGTAAGTATGACATTGTTTTCTGGATAGTAGTTTTAATTATTATTTACTTGTTGGTAAAGTGTATATCCTGCTTTTGCACCACTGAACTAATGGTGATGATGCATCAGTTTGGCCGCATTTTTGATAGCTGCATAATTTCCAACCCTGGTAAAGACACAGAGTCATGCCAGGAGTGTGTTAGTAGTGCCATAGTTTGCCAAAGAAGTTGCTAGAAGTAAATACTAATGTATGCACAGTCCAGTCACAAACATTAAAAGATCAAAATCTGTTGAGAAAGGCTGAACCTAGGATTACAGAGACTTAATGTTGGGACATTTAGATGAACAAAGGCGGTGCCATCATTTGCCACCGACTCTCCCGATATTACTGGAGATGTTTTTTTAAAGCAATAATATATTATTCTTAGCCATCACTTTTGTAATGAAAAATAATTCATGGTAATCTGGTGGCAATATTTGCTGACCAAATGACCTATCTGTGGTGGAGAAGAAAACTGCTAGTATTGGTTAGTGGTAGGGGTTATGTAGGTGCCTTGAATTTTGCATTGTCTTTGGGGGTATGGCTATGATGGGTGCACATACTTTAACATTGATCACTAGAGAAGTGACAGTGACAAGTGAGAGAAATAGATGTAACAGAAGAGGTAGCTTTGCCCAAGATTCTGCAAAGTAAAAATTTGGAAAAAAAGACAGAAAAAAATGAATAATAATACACTTCAGTTATATTCCGTGCTATCTCCCTGAGGGGACTCAGAGCGGATTACAGTGTATGTGTGTGTGTGTGTATAGATATAGATATAGATATAGGCAAGCATTCAATGCCTTTCATACAGTGAACAATGGCATACAATACACAAACATAGGCAAAGGTTGCCCTTTCCATCTCCAGCGTCTGAAGGCGACGCTCAACTCTGGCCATGGGGAGGCTCTCTTGCTCCATTTTTCCATGCCGAGGAGCCTGTTGTCTGTAGACCCTCCTGGTCATGTTGCCGGCATGGCTGCATTGAGCACCTTTCACCTTCCCGCCGAAGTGGTACTCATATTACATGTTTTCAATCTGTTAGGTTAGCAGAAACTAGGGCTGACAGTGAGAGTTCATTCTGACTCACAACTTCAAACTGCCAACCTTCTCGTCAGCAAGTTTTCTGCAGCTAGCGGTTTAACCTGCTGTGCAACCACAGCTCTTTGAAAGTTGGCAAGTTCGGGCAACAACTTAAAATTGGCCAAGGATGACTATTGGCCATGATTACGTCTGACCTGAATCATTAATGAAGTCAAGTTATTGAACATAACCATACATGTATCGTGAAGACCAGATATCATCTGTTGATGAATACTGCTTAACATGTTGGATCTATTCTTTACAGTACTATGGGTATTAGAGATGTCCTAGGTTGTACTGTCTGGCACATATGGTCTTAAAATCAGTAGCTTCCATTTTAATGAAATAGTGTTTGAAAACTGGCTTGAATCCAACTGGTAAAATTGCAGTCCGACAATGTCAATCACTTGTTAATTTAAAGGTAGAGACTATTGTGCCACTCTTCCCTTATTTCTCACAGCAAGTTGATGCTTGTATTAGAAGTGCTAAAAGACAATACTACATTTTTTTCAGTGCTCATGCTCAAAGCATGTGTTGAATAACAATTGTATTTATTATTGATATACCCAGTTCTTGATAAAAAGCTATAATAACAACAATTAATTCTGCTGGCATTGTATTTTATTGCTTCAGCTTCCACCATGAATCATGTCAGGATGCTTTCTTCTAATCTATAGATATGATAAAAAGACAACTAATTTGATAAACTAATGATTCCTGAAGCAAAATCTAGTATTCATGAATACAATTTGAACAGCATGTTTTTCTCTGGGCCACACTGGATTATAAGTCCTCTAGACTTAGTAGGCAACTAGGTTCATCCAAGGTATTTAGTCTGAAGCAAGAAACAAGATGGAGCCCCATTCCTTTTCATGTATAAAAACTAACTAGGTTTGAAGTTTAGTTGTGTGCCCCCCTTCTTGTAATGGGACAGTATCCATCACCAATGGGAGCTGCATAACTCTCTTTTTCAACATCTCACTTCCATCGTCCAGTATTTGCTATCAGAGGTGAATGGGAGAGTGGACACTGGTAGCTAAGCAGTGTTAAAATAGTCCACTTCACAGATGGATCTGAGAATTTTATTACTTCCAAAAGTTGACTTCTCTTTGAGAAGGGTAATATCATTTTATAAAAGGTGAATACAGTCATGATAGGATTCAGAGTGTCAGTGAAACATGCTGGTTTCAAGGCATACCTCTGTGACCATTGTCCAGAATTGGAAAATATATGTTTATATGACAACTTGTAGTATTCTCCAGTCATCATGTGGGATGGAAGTTGTAGTCCAAAAGTTAATATTTCCAAGTTCTGTTTTTGTCTTCAGCCAGTGATACAATTTTGAGGTAAAAAAAGGTTTTTTTCTTGCCATTTAGCCTTTTTTCTGTGTATAATTCCTGAAAAAATATTATTTTGGGATTCTTCTCCTCTAAGAGAGGCAATTTGTCCATCATTACTAATGTTTTGGTAGAAAGCATAATCTACTTTTGTTCATTCTCCACACTTCCATTATTCACACTTCCATAATATTGATACTCACACCCTATTACTGGCTGTACAATGCATGTATGTTTTGAAGCCCAGATATGCACAGCACTAATATGAAATTGGAATTTTACAGGGACTATATGTTGGAAATAATATGGTTCACTAAATATAAGGGGCAAAAGGATTGGTGGGATTCCAGAAAACACAGTGAAAATGAGGCAGATGGGATTTAACATTGTTAAACCTGCCTAGCTGACTCCTCTTCTGTTTAAAATGATACCTTTGACACTTCTCTCTTTTCCACCACTCTCACAGGTACACTCAATGAGAACATAGGCTTTCTCAGTGGCTGCTCTGGAACTTTCTTTCCAGAAGTGTTGGTCTGACTTATGGCAACCCTAAGATGGCCCTATCACAGGGTTTCCTTTCCAAGAAATTTGCCTTTGCTTTCTTCTAAGGCTGAGAAAGTGGTAGTCCCATGCCCAAACCAGTACACTGCGTTGGCACCCTCCTTAATACCTTTCTGCACTCTGATGAAGTTGTTTTTACTCAGACAAGCCTTTGAGAATGAATTTTAAGGGAAAACTGGTCTTCCTAAATGTGCTGGATGGTTGTTTTTTTTTTTAGTGGCTGAGTGCTTTTAAGGGGTCCTAATTTATTTATTTTTATAATGTAATTGGTCCTCCTGGTGTCGCAGTGGGTTAAACCACTGAGCTGCTGAACTTGCTGACCGAAAGGTTGGTTGTTCAAATCTGGGGAGCAAGAAGAGCACCTGCTGTTAGGCCCAGCTTCCACCAAATTAGCAGTTCAAAAGCTTGCAAATGTGACTGCTTCTACCAAATTAACAGTTCGAAAACATGCAAATGTGAATAGATCAATAAGTCCTGCTTCTGCGTGATGGTAACAATGCGCCATGCAGTCATGCTGGTCACATGACCTTGGAGGTGTCTATGGACAATGCTGGCTCTTCGGCTTAGAAATGGAGATGAGCACCACCCCCCAGAGTCGGACACAACTAGACTTAATGTCAGGGGAAAACCTTTACCTTTTATAATATAATTAGTTTCTAGCATTTGCTTGTGAATTTTAACTCTATTTGTTTTAACTGTCATAAGCTGCCCTGATTTCTAAATGGGGAAACAGGCAGGATAAAATAAATATAGGAATAAGCAAACAAACAATAATAAATAGGTGTAATGCAATAAAATAATAAATAGGTGTAATACAATAGGTTTTTGGTATCTATGTGGATTTGATTCCAGGGCCCCAGGTGGATACCAAAATCAGTGGATGTCCATGTCCTATGATATCCAATGGTGCAGAAAAATTGTATCCTTTAAATAAAATGACAAAATCAAGGTATGATTTTAAGAACTTTGTTTTGAATATTTTCAACCTGTGGAAGGTTGAATCCATGAATAGAAAATATAAGGATATGGGGGGCTGACTACAATAGTAGTGGCTAGTATTAAGTATTAACATCATTTGTAAACTAGACTTACAAGCAAGTAAAACTATATAATTGTATCATTATAACAACAACCATCATGCAAATTGAGCTACACTTGAGAGACCATTTTGCAAGGTTGCAATGCACAACATGATGTACAAGAAATAGTGGTGTTCATCTGAACACATTGTTCATGAGAATAGGTTCAGCAATGGGACATCTTGCATGGTGCCCCGTTGTGCATTATTGCAATTTACTTATATGGTTGCAAATATTTGCAGTGACGTAGCACTATTAACCTCCAGCAAAGGATCACCGCCTTGTCGGGGCGCTGGAGCTTGAGCACCTCAATGATGTCATGAGCGAAACCGTGAAGGGACACCCAAGACGGGACGGTTGTGGCAGAGAGGTCAGACCAAGCCTGATCCCTGGGGAAGGCAATGGCAAACCACTCCAGTATCCTTGCCAAGAAAACTAAATGGACCAGTACAACCAGAGATATGTCGGTATGCCATTGGAAGATGGGACTCCCAGGTCGGAAGATGGCCAAAATGCTACTGGGGAGGAGCAGAGGATAAGTTCAACTAGCCCCAGATGTGATGACGCAGCTAGCTCAAAGCCGAAAGGAAGGCTAGCGGCCGACGGTACTGGAGGTGAACGACGAATCCGATGCTCTAAAGATCAACACACCATAGGAACCTGGAATGTAAGATCTATGAGCCAGGGCAAATTGGATGTTGTTATTGGTGAGATGTCAAGACTAAAGATAGACATTCTGGGGGTCAGCGAACTGAAGTGGACTGGAATGGGCCACTTCACATCAGATGACCACCAGATCTACTACTGCGGACAAGAGGAACATCGGAGAAATGGAGTAGCCTTCATAATTAATAAGAAATTCGCTAAAGCGGTGCTTGGATACAACCCAAAAAATGACAGAATGATCTCAATTCGAGTGCAAGGAAAGCCTTTCAACATTACAGTGATCCAAATATACGCCCCAACCAAAGCTGCTGAAGAAGCAGAAGTAGATCAGTTCTATGAGGATCTGCAGGACCTACTGGATAATACACCAAAAAGAGACATTATTTCATTACAGGAGACTGGAATGCCAAGGTGGGAAGTCAAATGACAACTGGGATCACAGGCAAGCATGGTCTGGGAGAACAAAATGAAGCGGGACGCAGGCTGATAGAATTTTGCAAGGAAAACTCGCTGTGTATAACGAATACTCTCTTCCAACAACCTAAAAGACGGCTTTACACATGGACCTCACCAGACGGTCAACACCGAAATCAGATTGACTACATCCTTTGCAGCCAAAGGTGGCGGACATCCATCCCGTCGGTGAAAACAAGACCTGGGGCTGACTGTAGCTCAGATCACGAACTTCTTATTGCCCAATTTAGAATAAAACTAAAGAGATCAGGGAAAATACACAGACCAGTTAGATATGATCTCACTAACATTCCTAGCGTAATATACAGTGGAAGTGAAGAACAGATTTGAAGGACTAGATTTAGTAAACAGAGTCCCAGAAGAAATATGGACAGAAGTCCGAGACATTGTTCAGGAGGCGGCAACAAAGTACGTCCCAAAGAAAAAGAAAACCAAGAAGGCAAAATGGTTGTCTGCTGAGACACTGGAAGTAGCCCAAGAAAGGAGGAAAGCAAAAGGAAACAGGGATAAGGGGAGATATGCCCAGTTAAATGCGCAATTCCAGAGGTTAGCCAGAAGAGATAAGGAACTACCGTATATTCCGGCATATAAGACGACTGGGTGTATAAGACGACCCCCAACTTTTCCAGTTAAAATATAGAGTTAAGACCACTCCCATGCATAAGACTACACCCGCGTATAAGATGACCCCTGACTTTTGAGAAGATTTTCTTGGGTTTAAAAGTAGTCTTATACGCCAGAATATACTATTTTTAAATAAGCAATGCATGGAAGTGGAAGAAGACAACAGAATAGGAAGGACAAGAGACCTCTTCCAGAAAATTAGAAACATTGGAGCTAAATTTCAGGCAAAAATTGGTATGATAAGAAACAAAGATGGCAGGGACCTAACAGAAGCTGAAGAGATCAAGAGAAGGTGGCGAGACTATACAGAAGATCTGTATAGGAAGGATAATAATATTGAGGATAGTTTTGACGGTGTGGTGAATGAATTAGAACCAGACATCCTGAGGAGTGAGGTTGAATGGGCCTTAAGAAGCATTGCTAACAACAAGGCAGCAGGAGACGACGGGATCCCAGCTGAACTGTTTAAAAATCTTAAAAGATGATGCTGTCAAGGTGATGCATGCCATTTGCCAGCAAATATGGAAAACACAAGAATGGCAATCAGACTGGAAAAAATCAACTTATATCCCCATACCAAAAAAGGGAAATGCGAAAGACTGCTCAAACTTCCGTACAGTGGCCCTTATTTCTCATGCCAGTAAGGTAATGCTCAAGATCCTGCAGGGAAGACTCCAGCAATACATGGAGCGAGAGTTGCCAGATGTTCAAGCTGGGTTTAGAAAAGGTAGAGGAACGAGAGACCAAATTGCCAATATCCGCTGGATAATGGAGAAAGGCAGGGAGTTTCAGAAAAACATCTACTTCTGCTTCATTGACTATTCTAAAGCCTTTGACTGTGTGGATCATAATAAATTGTGGCAAGTTCTTGGTGGGATGGGCATACCAAGCCACCTTGTCTCTCTCCTGAGGAATCTGTACAAGGACCAAGTAGCAACAGTAAGAACTGACCATGGAACAACAGACTGGTTCAAGATTGGGAAAGGCGTACGGCAAGGCTGCATCCTCTCACCCAACCTTTTTAACTTGTATGCAGAACACATCATGCGATGAGCGGGGCTGGATGAATGCAAAGCTGGGGTGAAAATTGCTGGAAGAAACATTAACAACCTCAGATATGCAGATGACACCACTCTGATGGCCGAAAGCGAGGAGGAGCTGAGGAGCCTTCTAATCAAGGTGAAAGAAGAAAGCGCAAAAGCCGGGTTGCAGCTAAACGTCAAAAAACCAAGATTATGGCAACAAGAATGATTGACAACTGGAAAATAGAGGGAGAAACCGTGGAGGCCGTGACAGACTTTGTATTTCTAGGTGCAAAGATTACTGCAGATGCAGACTGTAGCCAGGAAATCAGAAGACGCTTACTTCTTGGGAGGAGAGCAAGGTCCAATCTCGATAAAATAGTAAAGAGTAGAGACATCAGAATGGCAACAAAGATCCGCCTAGTCAAAGCCATGGTATTCCCTGTAGTAACCTACGGATGTGAGAGCTGGACCTTAGGGAAGGCTGAGCGAAGGAAGATCGATGCTTTTGAGCTGTGGTGTTGGAGGAAAGTTCTGAGAGTGCCTTGGACTGCGAGAAGATCCAACCAGTCCATCCTCCAGGAAATAAAGCCCGACTGCTCATGGAGGGAAGGATACTAGAGACAAAGTTGAAGTACTTTGGCCACATCATGAGGAGACAGCAAAGCCTAGAGAAGACAATAATGCGGGGAAAAGTGGAAGGTAAAAGGAAGAGGGGCCGACCAAGGGCAAGATGGATGGATGGCATCCTTGAAGTGACTGGACTGACCTTGAAGGAGCTGGGGGTGGTGACGGCCGACAGGGAGCTCTGGCGTGGGCTGGTCAATGAGGTCACGAAGAGTCGGAGACGACTGAACGAATGAACAACAAAGCACTATTAACATAAAGTTACACATTTATTTATTTATTTACTATATTCATATCCTGCCTTTCTCTACCCTGGAGGGGACTGAAGGCAGCTTACAGATACTCAATAATTCAATGTCTTCACAACAATATACAGTTAAAATATATTAAAATTAAAATCAAAATTAAATACATTAAAACATTATAAAACATTGTTGTTGTTGTTCATTCGTTCAGTCGTCTCCGACTCTTCGTGACCTCATGGACCAGCCTACGCCAGAGCTCCCTGTCGGCCGTTACCACCCCCAGCTCCCTCAAGGTCAGTCCAGTCACTTCAAGGATGCCATCCATCCATCTTGCCCTTGGTCGGCCCCTCTTCCTTTTGCCTTCCACTTTCCCCAGCATAAGTGTCTTCTCTAGGCTTTCCTGTCTCCTCATGATGTGGCCAAAGTACTTCAACTTTGTCTCTAGTATCTTTCCCTCCAGTGAGCAGTCGGGCTTTATTTCCTGGAGGATGGACAGGTTGGATCTTCTCGCAGTCCAAGGCACTCTTCATTGCAAATTCATTGCACACTTCATTGCAAATATTTGTTGCAATCATACTTTGGTTTCTTAGGTGTATCTGACATAAATGTCTTAAAAATAATAATCAGCATATTGCACGTAGGAGTTTCAAAATGCCCCAGCCTTTTTATCCTTAAGTGTTTCATGGTTAGAGAAACAAAAAAATTAAATAAAAATAAACAGACAAACCAACACTCATCAGTGAGCATAACTAATAAACGGGCCAGCTGAATCATAATTCATAAATGGATAAGTTCAAAAACTAGTAAGGAAGTTAATGAGATAAAAGCTTTTGTGGCACAGCTTCAGAATAAACAGAAATGAAAGAGAGAGAGATAGAGATCCCAAACCATCATCTTTTTAAAGGACTGCCTGTCTTTTCAGCTTCTGGAGGAGTGTGGGTACATGGCTTCTTCTTCTTCTTTTTGGTCTGTGCCAGAGCATCTTCCCAAAGTAACCTATCAGCCATTGGGAAATCTATAAGGAAACTAACCAGGCTGTGCGGCTCATCTTTTATTCTTCATAGGCAATCAATTTTAAGGCTTTCATTTCCAAACTTTACAGTGCATGATTCATATTTAATAAACAGGGCTATAATGAGATTAAAACATCGTTGGTTTCTGTAGAGAAGGGATCGGTGAGTTATGAGCCTGGCGCTTGCTCCATGGAAGTCTGCAGGCAATCTATAATCATGATTTGCAACAAGATTAGACTCTCATTCTGTTTCATTTCTTGTCATTTGTGTCTCGCTAGGAAAGCTTGGCTCTGTAGCTTTAACTCGCCTATCTCTTCCTCTGTCTCTGCAACGCATGGAGAGAGGAGGAGCGGGTGGAGAACACAAAGTGCAGCAAGTAGAGCTAGACAGAGGACAAACTGATCACAAAAAGGAGAAAGGTGAGAGGGTCCGTCAGGTACTCACTGACTAGGAAGTTGTGATACACTGAAACCAGTGAGAATGAAGACATGTCTAGATTTTTTGTATGTTTTAAAAAGTAGAAGTTAGGTTTTCATTGTTACAGAATTTACTACCCTGCCTACATTTGCAGTAGTTAGGGGCACTGAACTTCCATGAAAAAACATGAACATAGAAACTGCTTTTTTAAACCTTTGAGAATACATTTTCTGGGAATTTCTGGGTCTCCCAGAATGACTTTATGGTTGATCTTCACTGGAAATTGACCATAGAATCACACCAAAAGGCCTAAAGATTCCTAGAAAGAACATTTTTAATCAAACCAATAAATAATCAAATCTAATAAAGTCAAAACCACAAATGTGGAGTGACAATGTACAGAAGTGGAATGAGCACAGGATTATTTCAGTTAAGTTTAATTTTGTGCCATTTTATCTATGCCTTTATGTTGCTTCTGTTTGGCAATGACTCTATCATCTTTCTGTCAGCTTTCCCACTGTGGAATGGTATGGAAAATTGCAGCAGCTGATAATATATCTTCTGCTGAAAGGAGAACTCTTCTTCCACATTTATCTACACTCCCGTTGTTGCTGCTGCTGTTGCTGCTGCTGCTGCTGCTGTTGTTGTTGTGTTCCTTCAAGCCATTTCCAGCTTATGATGACTTGAAGGCACACTACACAGTTATAGCACTATCTTGGGTTTTCTTGGCAATGTTTTGGCTTATCTGAGGAACAGAGAGAGTGACTTTTCCAAGGTCACCCTTTGGGTTTCAATGGCTATGAAGGGATAGATTCAAATCTTCATCTCCAAACTGTAGTCCAGCACTCAAACAACTAAATCCGCCTGGCCCTTTCCTGCCCACATAGGTGATAATTTACCATTCTTCTCCATATAAAAATCAAAATCATAAAAACTGGCAAAAGTAAAGCTTTCATAGATCTTAATTACTGTTTATTGCAATGCTTTCATAGATCTTAATTACTGTTTATTGCAATGTATCCTCTTTAGCTGCAGCTAATATGGTGGTGATAATGAAGGTTTATTTATTTCGTATTAAAAGCATTGCATACATAAGTATAAAACTGATAAAAATAGAAGGAGCACAAAAGGCTAAATAATTTTTGACCAAAACTGGGCAACAGTGACCACATTGACTTTAGCTTTAAACAGTTCCTCCTCTGTAAATCCAAAAGTATTGCTTTAAACACAATGATGGTAATAGTGAGAGCATCTTATGCATTGGATTCATATGGGATGATCATTTGTTCAGAATGCAAAAGTTTCAATTAGAATCACAAAGTCAAGATTTAAGGGTATTGGCCTTCTCTGTGAGTTGCCCTCGGGCTTGAGATACAGCGCTGTGAGTCGCCCTCGGGCTTGAGATACAGCGGTATACAAGAATAGTAAATAAATAAATAAATAAATAAATTCTCAGAAGGGTCAGTCAAAATTAAACAGCATCCTCCTCCCTAACTTGTGCATTCTTCCTTACTAACAACTTACCATTGACCATACTTCGATGTTGTTTCATAGCACATATTCTGGTTTCCATGTGTGAAACATTGGAGGGTATGCTGATGTGACACTGTGATTGTAAAATACGTTTCCTTTAGAGGCCTGACTGGTATCTGTATTAACTCAAAGTTGAAAATCAAGGCTTTTATTAAACTTTATCCAATTAATACATATTTTAACTGTTTTAATGTGTTTTAAATTCTTGAATGGTTAATATGTTTTTAACTGCACATTTTGCCACTTCAATATGTTAACATTTTAAAATGGATTTTATTGGCTGAATCCTCACATTTTTGGATGTAGGGAAGAATATAGTCATGCTAACAAAATAAATACATAAATTTATATTTTTTTATTTTTTCCCCTCTCCAGCTCTTCAGAACTATGGATTAAGATTTAGCCTGGATGTTTGCCGGAGTATCTTGGCCCTCCTGGATGTATCCGATGTTTAAATATTACCACTTTGCGAAACCCAGCATTGTATTGAATGAGAATATTCAGTTTTTATTTTACCATTTCTCCTACTGAACAAGATAAATTCAGCATTTTATCTATAGGAAAGTTAAGATGCTAGGACTATGTAGCAGTGCATGTAAGAACCTTATCACATTAACCTAAGGATTTGCCACGAATTGTGGCAAATCTGTGGGTGCCCAGCAGGGGGTGTGGGGAACCTGTTACACCATGCCCTGCATTGCCAGAATTATCCTTGGCCCCATACCATGGGGCGAAGCGTCCACCACCCAACTTCCCCCTCACAGTTGCAAATGCAACATGGAAGGCCTCCCATGTAGACATGGTGGTGGTGTGATCCACTTAGACTCATAGAGTTGGAAGATACCTCATGGGCCATCCAGTCCAATCCCCTGCCAAGAAGCAAGAAAATTGCATTCAAAGCACCCTCGACAGATGGCCATCCAGCCTCCGTTTAAGAGCCTCCAAAGAAGGAACCTCCACCACAGTCTGGGGCAAAGACTTCCTCTGCTGAAGAGCTTTCACAGTTAGGAAATTCTTCCTAATGTTCAAGTGGAATCCTCATGCCTTTAGTTTGAAGCCATTGTTCTGCATCCTAGTCTCCAGGGCAGCAGAAAACAAACCTCCTCCCTATAACTTCTCACATATTTATACATGGTCTTCATGTCTCCTCTCAGACTTCTCTTCTGCAGACTAAACATGCCACTTAAGCCACTCCTCATGGTGCTTGTTCTCCAGACTCTTGATCATTTTAGTCACCCTTCGCTAAACACATTCCAGCTTGTCAACATCTCCCTTAAATTGTGATGCCCAGAATTGGACACAATATTCAGGTGTGGTATGACCAAGGCAGAATAGAGGGGTAGCATGATTTCCCTGGATTCAGACACTGTACTCCTATTTATGAGGGCCAAATTCTCACTGGATTTTTTTTTTTAAATAATTTTTATTGCTTTTCTTATTTACAGAAAGATTTAAAAAGAGGATTTATAGTAGTAGGGATGTGAAGAAAAGGAAAGGGGTAGACGTGATGGGGGTGGGGCCGTAGAGGCATAGAAGAGGTAGGCATCTAGAAGGGGGGGGGTATAGTTTAAAAAGAGAGAAAATCAAGAAAAGAAGTAAGGTAAAGTTTCTTCTGTGTTGACTTCCAAGATTCTTCGAGGTTGGTCTCTTCCTTTTCTTTTCTTTTTTCCTTTCCTCTCCACGTTTTTCAACCTCTGTTTAAAAGTTTCCAAGGAAGGAGCTTCCACCACACTCCAAGGCAGAGAGTTCCACTGTTGAACAGAGGACATTTCACAACAAGATTACCCAGTAAAAACTTTTTTTTTTGGCTTGCCAAGTTTCTGGACCAAACAAATTTATTTATCTACAGTGACACATACAAGTATGGGTAAACCCTTCATCTGCAGGTCTGGAATAAGATACCCAGAACAACTTCAGCACCTCCTGTTTCTGGAAGCGAAACCTGAGCTTATAATAGGACCAAAGGTCTGCACTGGATATAAAATGAGCCACAAGGATCACAAATCTGAAAACGCTGCGATCTATAGATCTCTTATGCATATTGAGAAGGTGTTCTTGGAATGTTTTTAATGTTGATATGTGGAAGTGGGTGTGTCCCTTCCAGATCCCGTGGAAGGGCTCATATGCAGCCCTTAGACATGGAGCAACGCTCACCCCGGTCTGTAGTAACAGCATGTCAAGAGAACATTATTTTCCTGTATGCGGCTTTGTGGTGCAAGCTGTAAAAGTAAATTTAATTCATCAAGGACATTTTTTTTCTATCACTTCTGGACAATCGTCGGGGAAACAAATCCACAACTTGGAGCAATGGTTACGTGGCCAGGTTAAAAACATTTTGGGGAAGAAGGAGTAGAGCAAAAGGAAAAAACGCCCCAAGTCTGAACTCATTGTGACAACTCACTGGATTTTTAAACTGCCATATTACTTCATCTCCCTCTTTGCCACAGAGCTGCACCAGATGTATATGTACATTGTGGGATGGGCTCCATGGCAAAAGGGAAGAGGAATTGGCATTGAACAAGCAAATTAGCCTGTATGATGAGGTCATAAGTGTACCACACTATCGACCTTTTCACACAGTTGCCAAGAACATTGAGCATCATTGGAGGGCATGGGGAATCTGACGCCCCACATTGCCCAGCTCCAACTGAGGGCAATCCCACGGGGGAAAGCATGGAGCATATGGATTCCCCCATTGATTCTATGGCAAAACAGGAAGCTTCCCATGTTTCCACAGTGGCAGCATGCACTACTTCATCCATGGAGCCCGCTGGTGTCATTTGATAGGTGCAGCAGGCTCTGTGAGTGAAGTAGGGTGGAGCCAGCACATGCCACAGAAAAATGCCCTTTGTGATGAGGTCAAAAGAGAGTTGTAAAGACATGAACATCACAGACCCTGAGCTTTCAGGGCCAAAGCATGAAGGGTAGAAATAATTCTTTGTGATTTCACATGGGACATCTACAGTTTGAGAAACTTGGGGAAGAGATGGCCTGGTGGACCACCTGTAGTCTGTAGCAGCTACTTCAATATAGCAGTGTAGCATAGAAGGACACGGGGAAAAGTCTTGTTCTGCAATTCCTCCTCTTATCCTGCAGACTGAAGGATCTATATGTCATGTATTAATGATATAATGTATTAATCTATTGATTGTATTCTGTCTTTCTTTCATGAGAGAGCTTCAAGACAGAATACCTTCAAGGTATCTATCTCCTGTTCAGATGCTCTCCAGAGTCAGACCAGTTTAGTTGGTCTGGTTCTTATGGGCTGTTCACTGAGACCAGATTGTGTGTGTCTCTTCTAAGTGGGATTAAGATTGTCTGAAAGCAATCTATCACTTAAACTTCCTCTCATTAACCATTATATTAAGAAAGTCTTATTAGCTTCATTTAACTACAGCTTTAAAGACCCAAATCTTGTCACACCAAGAAGAATGGCGGGCATGCTAAGCAGTAAGGGCAAAAAGAAGCCCTTCTAGGGTGTTGTGTTTATATATAGGTATATGTTCTAATTTGTATCTAAAGCATGCCAAACAACCTGGCTCAGACATTTAAGAAGGATTGGTGTGCTGGGATGTCTCTGCATAACCAAGTCACTCTTATAAATAATTCATCTGAGTAAACAGTGTTATATGTATTTTTCTTTCCATGTCCCTTGCCTGCTTACGAAGGGGCAGGTTGTGCTCTCTTTGAAATTACTTAGAAAACACTCATTGATTTTAGAAAAGAGAAGAACAGCTCCTAAAGCAGGGTTGAAAGACCCCTGGAATCAATATATGGTTTCGACTTTGAGTGCATTAGCTCCTGGGTCACATTCTTTAGTGGAAACACAGAAATAAATGAATAAATAAATCCCTAGGGTTTCTGTATTTTTTAATCCAAGTAATCAGGCTTCCCTGCTCTCAAATCAAGGCAACCCATAAAGCTATATTACACTCCCCCCTTCCTCCCTTTTCCTCTCTCAGATTAAGATATATTCCATATATTAAGGCTAACAAAGCCAAGGAATGTTTAGATTAGCTTGATTTCAGGGCAGTGAAATCACAGCTATATGTATATATTTATATTTTTTAGTTGTTCCGTTCTCTTCCATTTCTTTTAGTATTATGTACCTTGACAACACAATTTAGCTTGATAGCACTGGAGACTTGAGCATTCAAGAATTCAGACTCCTATGGAAGAAGCTGCTTCTTTATCAGGTACAAAAGGACGTGGTTTTTTTGTGTATTGGCAAGGGAGGCAAAGGGCAAAGCTTCAGTGGGTTCTCAGCTTTATGTGAAACTACAAATTGACAATTGTTTCATTTCCTATTAACACAAATGGTGGGTCTGCCCTATGAAGGGCACAGAAGGGATGAAGAAGAATGCTTAAGCTGGTTTTACTGTTACTGCTTATAGTAGCATTGTTTTAGAAATGACCAAAACAAAGGGTTGTTGTAGGTTTTTTGGGCTGTATGGCTATGTTCTAGAAGCATTCTCTCCTGACGTTTTGCCTGCATCTATGGCAGGCATCCTCAAAGGTTGGGAGGTCTGTTAGAAACTAGGAAAATTGGGTTTATATACCTGTGGAAAGTTCAGGGTGGGAGAAAGAACTCTTGTATGTTGGAGATAGGTGTGAATGTTTCAATTGGCCACCTTGATTAGCATTTGATGGCCTGACAGTTTTTAAGTGTGCCCTGTTACTGCCTGGGGGAATTCCTTGTTGAGAGGTGATTAGTTGTTCCTAGTTTCCAACAGACTTCACAACCTCTGAGGATGCCTGCCATAGATGCAGGTGAAACATCAGGAGAGAATGCTTCTAGAACATGGCCATACAGCCTAAAAAACCTTCAACAACCCAGTAATTCCAGCCATGAAAGCCTTTGACAATACATAGACCAAAACAGAGTTTGGGAAAATGTGCAATGGCCCTTGGAACCTCTGAAGCAAGCCAAATGTATTAATTAGAAGGCCCCTTGTGTTTTACAGTCACCTGTAGTTAAACTTTATCTCTAGCAATGACTAAATAAGGAAAAATGTACAAATGCTGGACTTAGTTGTATCCCACATCTTAGACCAGAAATGATCAATACTGTATGGCAAAATCCAAAAGGGCTGGGCTATTAACTTGAATTACTTGAATTTTTCACCATCTTTAAGTGAAAATAGCATTTTTCTTATATTTATAATACCAATTGGTTATTATGTTCATGTCTTTTATTTATGTGAGTTCATACTTGTTTCAGTTGTGGATAGGTTTGCAAAGCCATTCTCCACTCTGGGCTGGCCAGCCTTCCTTGGGAATTAGTCTGCTGTATTTTTGTCACATACATGAGACGAGACAGCTGTAGTCAAGTCGGGGCTAGCTGGTGGGTGAAAAGGTTGGCTAGGCTATTGAAAACATTGGCACTGTTCCCAGAGGCTTTATTTGCATCTTCATCACGATCATTTTCTGACAGGACGTTTTCCAGAAAAAAGATATTCACCATACAGGTTGCTTGGAGCAAGCAGAAGTACACGCAGCTTTAGAAGAAATGGGTGAGTATTGGAACTGAATTTTCTCAGCATCCATGTTTATTCTTAACCTGGATTTTCTTGAACAGTGGGATTTCAAAGTTCATAAGAAAAAAGTTTTGACTTCTGTAATTCATTGTTCTTGAAGTTTCTCTACTGACTACATCTCATAAATAATAAAAGTTGACAGTTATACACTTCTTTGTGTGTCAGGAGCAACTTGAGAAACTGCAAGTTGCTTCTGGTGTGAGATAATTGGCAGTCTGCAAGGATGTTGCCCAGAGTATATCCTGATTTTTTTATGTTTTACCATCCTTGTGGGTTCTCTCATGTCCCTGCATGGGGAGCTGGAGCTGACAGAGGGAGCTCATCTGCGCTCTCCCCGGATTCGAGCCTATGAATCAGTCCTGCCAACACAAGGGTTTTAACCCATTGCACCACTGGGGGCTCCTTTTAGTTGTACACTGGACAACATGCATGTTTGCACCTCAAATATTAGACCTGTTTCTAGATATATTTGATGTGCTGATTCCAAAAATAACATCCCTAGCGGCTCTAGATTTTAAGATACAGATAATAATAATAATAATAATAATAATAATAATAATAATAATAAATCTTTATTTATATCCTGCTACCATCTCCCAAAAGGGGCTCATGACAGCTTACAAGACACTGCAGTGCAGTATATAACATAAATGATACATGAGTATAAAACAATATCACATAAAATTATAAAACAACCACTATCAACACATAAAATAAAATGAATAACACAATATAAAATGCAGAACCATCTGTTGTTCAAACTAGCTGCCATCAATTCATAAACTAAAGTGCCAGGGAATCAACCTCATATGGGCCCATTTTAGCCTACTCGAGGCCAAAAACCTGCTTAAAAATCGATATTTTTAGACTGGATCATAAAGATTCAAGGGTGGGGGATAATCTAATCTTTTTCAGGAGGGTATTCCAGAGCTGGGGAGCCACCACAGAGAAAGCCCTCTCTCTTGTCCACACCAACCTTGCTTGAGACGCTGGTATTTATTTGTTGTATCAGAAGTGAACTGAGGGTACAGTTGTAATGTATTTAAAAACCACAAAGCTTAAAAAATTTGGCATTATACTAAATGTCCTTGGAGTGCCTTGGTGTTGCTACAAGGAGGTCCTCCATTGTGCTTGTGGCAGGGCTCAGACTGCATTGCAATAGGTGGTCTGTGGTTTGCTCTTCTCCACCCTTGCATGTCATGGACTACACTTTGTAGCCCCGTTTCTTAAGGTTGGCCCTGCATCTCTTGGTGCCAGAGCTCAGTCTGTTCAGTGCCTTCCAAGTCGCCCAATCTTCTGTGTGCCCAGGGGGGAGTCTCTCATTCGGTATCAGCCATGGCTTGAGGTTCCATGTTTTAGCCTGCGACTTTTGGACACTCACTTGCTGAGGTGTTCCTGCTAGTATCTCTGTAGATCTCACAAAACAATTTCTTGATTTAAAGCATTGGCAAGCTGGCTGATATTTGAACAGGGCGTGGAGACAATGGTGGAACCGAGGGAAGGGCCTCCCCCACCAATCTCAAAGCCCACGGTGGTTCATAGAAAGAGATGCGATCTCAAAGGTAGGATGCCATATATCTGGCTATCCACAGAAAATAATGATAACTATAACTATATCTAATAAACTAGAGCTTATGCAGTCTAACCAATGCAAGTTTCTGAATCAGTGCCCCAAATAATGCCAGGAAAAAACCTAAACACCAAGACACCAAGATACATAAATAGACAGACAGACAGACAGACAGACAGAGATTGTTGGGCTGTGTTATGGTTTTAGCTCAACAGCAATGCATATACCTTGAACACAGAGAGACTGAGGTTCAAGAAGTGGCATGACCATTTACCAGCTCTTAATACTCTCCAAGAGCTTCAACAGATTGGGATAAATTAAAAACAAGCCCACTTAAAAATAAAAAAGACAAAAAATAATTCAAAATATTAGAAGATGACCTCTTTTTTGAAAAAAAAAACCCCACTCAGAGATAAATAAATGCAAACAATATTCCTGTTTGAGCAGAATTTTACCCCTTTTTGAAATCATCAGATAAAGCAGATGTTATTTCCCTACAAAGAAAGTAAAGTAAAGGTAAAGGTTTCCCCTTGACATTAAGTCTAGTCATGGGGGGTGGTGCTCGATTTCTAGGCCAAAGAGCTGGAGTTGTCCTTGGATACCTCCATCATGTCTTTGGCCAGCATGACTGCATGGAGTCATTACCTTCCCGCAGAAGCGGTACCTATTGATCTACTCACATTTATATGTTTTTGAACTACTAGGTTGGCAGAAGTTGAACCTAACACTGGGAGCTCACCCAGCTCCTCAGATTTGAACTGCCAACCTTTCAGTCAGCAAGTTCAGCAGCTCAGTGGTTTAATCTGCTGTGCTACCAGGGGGCCCTCACATTCTACAAAGAAAGTAGAGGCCATTAAAAACCATTATGATCCTCTGTTATCTGGACATGACGTGTACCACTGGATTGTCCTCTTTAAAGTGAATAGATTCAGAAAATTCATATTTACTCACAAAGATTTTTAAAAGATGTACATTTCATTAAAAAAGCCTGTAACATGAATGACTGTAAAGTTTATGGGCAAACCGAAGCTTTGTCAGATGCAATTGGTATAATTTTTAATGCTGCTCAAATTGGATTGTAATTAACTTTTTTTAACATTTGAAATTAACAAATCAAAATTATGAGTGTGATAATTAAAACACAATATATGAAAAGAAATGAAATTAGAATACATTGAAATGTGTTTACTATACCATTCCACAACATCATAACTGAAAATATTGTCACCTTCATTATTCCTTCATATGAAGGCCCACATGGTGCTGTGGGAACTCAGCTTCAAATCCACACGCTGAAACTTTATACTGGTGCAGAAGTAAATTCTGCTACCTGTTGGGGATGCTTTAACTGGAGATCCTGCATTGAGCTGGAGGTTGGACCTGATGTCCCCTGGGGCCCTTCCAACTCTGTGGAATCTCTCCCATGGGCCATGGGTGTCTGATATTGGCACACTAGAATGGGAAGAAACTACTGAGAAACATATCTGTAGTAACACAGGGAGGATAACACAAGGTGCATCTACACTGCAGGATTAATGTAGTTTGACACTCAATGCTATATGGAACTCTGGGAGTCTTGGCAGAAAGGTCAAACTACTTCTCCTAGGATTTTATAGCATGATGCCAGGGCAGTTAAAGTAGTTTTAAAAAGTATTAATTTTACAGTTTAAATGCACCCTTAGAAGTCATGCTGGCATTTTTTTACAGACAGCTATCACTGTAAGCTGAGCAATTCAAATTTTAAAAAATGCCCTTACTTACTCATATGCAGACATCTTAAGACTTACAGGAACATGTAGGGCTCCAGGATGGTTATGTTGTCATGAGCTTCCTTGGAAAGAAACATGATATATAAATCTAGAACCATTGGCATCAAGTTTGTGTATGAGGAGTTTGAACATTAGTCTAATTTTTTTATGGTGGGGGTGTTCTTATTTTTCCAAAGGTATTCCCATCAGCAGTGAGCTTTGTAAACTGTTGGCATTTCGCTATGGGGACCCTGATCTAAAAGTCACCTTTGAAAACTTTGTCTGCCTTGTGCTGCGTGTGGATCTCATGATGAGTAAGAAGAACATTTTTTTAATATTTCACTTGAGTGGTAAATAGAAGCTGGTGTGAGTTCTTCTGCTACATCTCCTGTGTGTAAAACACATCTTCTAGTAGGTCATGTGGAATAATAAAAAGCAGAATAAGATGAGGATGAACAAATCCATTCATTTTGCTTTCTCCAACATTCCTGATTATGAGATTTGTGGATTTTTCTACATTCTCCAGAGTGGTGTGCAAGGAAAGAGTGTGTTCATGTGTTGTCAAAGGCTTTCATGGCCGGAAACTCTAGATTACTGTGAGTTTTCTGGGCTGTATGGCTATGTTCAATTCTCTCCTGACATTTTGCCCTCATCTATGGCAGGCATCCTCAGAGCGTGTGAGGTCTCACACCCTAGGAGGATGCATGCCATACATATGAATGAAACGTTAGGAGAGAATGCTTCTCAAACATGGCCATTACAGCCCGGAAGACTCACAGCAATCCAGTATATTCAATGATTAATTAACATTTATTAACCCCAAATATCTGCTGCCATTTTTAATTAGTTCTCTCCCTACTCCTTTAACAGCAACTGAGCACACAGAAAATGAAGTGAATGACATTTTTCTTTTTATGTATTTGTGTAGTGGGGAAAACTTCAGATACTCAGACCCATCTACACTTCCATTATAATGCAGATTAAACTAGATTATATGATAGTGTAGACTCATATAATCCAGTTCAATACAGTTCAGTCTGCATGGTATTCGTTTACACTTTTCTAAGCTCTGCAGTCCTCTGCTGGAAAAGGAATCTTTGCCCAAGATGCCATCTAACCTGGTACTGTTCCCATGTTTCAGGGAAGCGGGGTGGTAGCAGTGAGCCTCTTTTTCCTTCATGAACCAACAAATTGTTTTCTTTCATTTCTTCTTCTTCACAGAGGCCTTTTATAATATGAGTAAAGATGGCAAAGGGATATATATCAAAGAATCTGAGGTAAGGTCACATTTCTTTTCATTGTAGAAAAGCAGCATCTGTTTTTCTTCTATAGTCTTTGAACGGATGATCCTTGAAAGATATATACCAAGGTGTACATAAAGTGCTACAGGGTGTTACTGTGGTAGTAATTAGGGTTGCTAGAGTGAAGACTGTCAAGGGCTTTTGTAGCTTTAGTGGTTGTATGGAAAAGGGAATTTCAGCAGTTATCTAGTTACCATGTGGAGCAACACTTGCTTAAGTTTCCTCTTTTGCCCAACCAGTGAAGGTACAGAAGTCCTCTCCAGTTTTCAGTCTTCCATCCCAAGCAGCCGTCTTCTCAGGTGTTACAACATTCTTGTGACCAAGCTTTTTATTTTAAGGAAGAGACAGCCTGACTGTATTACAATTCCTATTTACAGCCAGATTGGACAACTGAATCCATCTCACTTTTGTTATTTTGCAGTGGATGATTATGACCCTCTACTCATGAAGTGAAGCAAAGAAGAAGAGTTGGACGGAGCTGTGGTAGCCTTTAAAAGAATTATAGGGAAACTTTCTTATCAGCTTTCTCTGTAGACAGAAAGGGGCAGAGGAAATCCAGACACTGCATGGCATTCTACTTTTGTCTTGATTGAAATAGGTTTAGGCCTATCAGAATTATATATCATTTCAAATCTTCGTTGAAACTCAGATTGGGGGTTAGAGCAGGTATTGGTATAGCCTTGCTAAAGAAAAAGCAAGAAAGTCATCAAACTGCAACTGTAATCAAAAAAATCCAATGCCACTTCCCTCACGAGCAATCTTCTCTCACATGACCATACTGTGCCATCATGGGAGAAGAGATGGACAGCTATAAGAAACAGGACCTTTTCGGTGGAAGTGTGCACCCGATGAAACTCCACCTTGTCTCCTTATCTGAGTATTTTAGAATTCTATTGAAGTTCTCTTTTAAAAATCCAAGGAAGTGTTAACATTTGATTGATCTGTTTTATAGACCATTGTTTTTAAACTGATGTTTGTAGTGCTGCTTTCAGTTTGTTCAATGCACTTTCTTAATTTTGCATAGCTTTACTTGTGTTTTTACAATGTTTGTTTTTGATTGTGATTATATTTATTACTTTTGTAAACTCTCTTGAAAGCTTTTATCAAAATACTAATATTTGTTTTATAAGGACTGTAAAATAGTCCACAATATTAAAACCAACCTATCATTGTAATATCTTATGCCAGCAACATCATACACCCATTTAATTCCCAAACTTTGCTTTGACTATTGAGTAATGGCTTCCATAACCCCTTCCATCTAGGGCTGAAGTCAAGTAGCTGACCTACCTAAGTGTATACTATGTTATTTGATTGTGTCTTTAATTATTTGATTATTACCCATTTTAAACTGAGCAGACAATATAACATTACTTATGAGAGCAGGTATGTGAGAATCTCTTAAGTCCGTGAAGAGATGGCCGGAAAAACCCCCCAAACAAAATGCAGAAGTCTTTCTGTTTTCAGATTGTTTCTTCCCAACAAGCCACCTTCAGTGACTCTTTAGATCTCTTCTGCAGTCATTGGTGATGTTAGTGTTCAATTACAACTGCCTGCCTGCACATGTTACATTAATTCAATTAGTGTAACAAGTGCAGGCAGTTCCAACTGAATAATTAATTTAATTGTAGGGGATGGCCCTGCATTTGAATAGCTCAAAAAGCTTTCTTAGGATATGAAACTGATGGAGAAAATCTTCACAGCTGAAAATGCTGGGGATGAAATGGCAAGCATGGGAAGGGCCACATCCCATGATATGGCATTGAGTCTAAAATTTCATATTGAAAGACAAAATCAGAGTTTTGAAAATATTGCAGGATGTGGGAGAAAGAAACTAGCTATTTAGACTTACAATCTTGCAGCCAATGTGACCACTTAAAATGGCACATATTGTGAAAAAATAATGTGATTTGGAAGACACTATAGTCAAGGTAGCATGCTGTACCATACCTTCCCCCATGCACACATCTATATCTATATACACACACAACATTGTTTTATATACCAATATGGTTACCAGGCATGTGCATTTGAGTCAAAAGGCATTCTGTTTTTGGGTCCGTTTCATTTACCAGAAAATTACCCGAAAGGGGAGGGGTGATGACATTTCATTCAGCGGAGATTCAGCACATTTGCTACAATGGGAAACTTTAAAGGCTCAATCCTCATCCATTTTAAGGTCTATCTGCATGAAACCTACCTCAGTTGAAGACCCTATTTACAACTGCGGGCCTGCCAAGTTTCAAAACTATCTACTGATTTTTTAGAATTATTTTAAGTTTTAACCATAACATTTTTTAAAATAAGACATAACAAAAGAGAGTATTCTGAGAATTGTAGTTGCTGGTTGTGTTCATTCTCAGCCAGTCAGAGCATGGACACCACCATGTTTTTTATTGGCTGAGAGAGACACAGAGAGAAAAACCTCAACTCCCATCAAGCTCGGAGAGGAACTTTTCAATGGCCACCCTATGCTAGTGACACTGGGAAAGCGAGTTCCTAGGGCCCTCTCTGGAGGAAGCAACTTTCCAAGAAAAAATGGAAAAGACTTCTTCTGCTGGGGAAAGAAAAAGAGACCACAGATCCCCCTACCTCAGGTATTTTGTGGACTTAACTCTTTCCAAAAATATTTGCTTTCTAAATCCATTTCGTTGGCCTTTTCGTCTCTTTCTTCCTCTTTCTGTTTTCAGAAATTAGATGAAAACACCCTCCGGAAACTACAAATCTTTTCATCAACAGTGATTCAGGCCCAAGTCTAATGGATACACTTGCTATTTCTTGTTAACACAAAGCATTGCAATTATAGTCATTCATGTAACTATTCATTGTTTACTCATAACCTCGAATCTGTCTTTGCTTTACATCATTTAATTTTTGTAACATCAAGTAGCACTGTGCTACGTGATCTGTTGTTTTGAAATTGTCAAGTGTTTTAATAGAATCACTGAATTTGTATAAGGCAAACTCCATTCTATTGATTACATAAAAGTATTTTACTAATGATGTTTTTGAAACATTGCTGTATCTCAGAGAGAAATACTACTGTACTTTTAAAACGTGACTTCAAAATTTTAGTGAGCATGGCAGAAAACAATTCAAAAAGCTTTCTGAGAGATGCATTCAGATAAATCCAGTTATTCACCACAAGGTCACTTGTCTTTGACTGGGTGCTATTACAATACCACACTAACAGAAAGAAGTATATTGCGATGGAGCTAGTCAAGAGGATGAGAAGCTTTTCATAGAAGAGGTAAGCAGGACAGGAGACAGGAAAAGTATTGCGAGGCAGCACAATGAAAAAATATGAATAGAGAAGAAGGCTGATGTTTCAACTCATAACTTTGAAATAAAAGTTATTCAAGGATATATTCACAAAGCTTTTAAACTGCAAAAGGATTGAGCATAGTTGCACATGTATTCTGAGATGTAATAAAATATAATGCACATAAAAAATAGAAGGGATGTAGAGCATTTCACACAGTTGTGGCCAGGTAGATGTCAGTTAACTACACAACTACACAAACATGTACATATAAAGGTGAGGAATATACCCAAGTAAGTGATATACCAGTATAGAACCTTTTATTAAGGTGATTTAAACAAAGATCTAAATCCAATTGCTTTCCCAGTTAGAGTAGATTCGTCGACATAAGGAGGACTTAAATTGCACTGATTCAGTGGGGATTGACAATTGGATGTGGACCAAAGTTCATTTGCATCTTTTCTTATTAAAGATAGAGCTGTTAGTTGTTGCATGCCTTCAGTTTATTTACAACTTGAGACAACCCTAAATTGAATTGATCATAGGATTTTCCTGGCAAAATTGTTCAGAGGAGCTTGCTATTCCTTTCCTCTGAGGAAAAAAGAGTAAAATTTGCCCAAGATCATCCAGAGAGTTTCCATGGCTAGGCATAAATTTGAACCCTGGTGGTGTCCAGAGTAATACGATGCATCTGCACAATTAATTCAGTTTTACACCACTTTAACTGCAATGCCTCAATGCTATGGAATCATGAAAGTTGTGGTTTTATAAGGTTTTTATCCTCCTCTTACCAAACTACAACTTCCATGATTCTATAGCATTTAGCTTTGGCAGTTAAAGGAACATCAAAATGAATTAATTCTATAGTGTAGATGCATCTATACGCCAACACTGAAATCAGTATACCTCTCTGGCTCTCTCAGATACTAGAGGCAGAGCTAATAACTAATTGACAAAACATCTATAAGAGCTTGAGAAAATATGCAACTCAGGAAGGCTGGTTGGTCTGAAAGACTGTGACTATCTGTCAGGGAAAGTGAGAGCTATACAGGAATTTGAATGCAAATTTCTTACTCTGCCCATTATATCCTATTGATTCTTATCTTCCATCAGAAGATTCCCAGTTAAATTGTTCACATCCAGATTAAAGGAACACCAGAAATGGGTTTTTAAAATTACTGCCCATGGTTTTTTTTTTTTTTTTTTGCTATCCATTGAGTTCATAGCACAGGGATGAATGGACTCAGCATAAAGCACCTTTCCCCAGGAAGTCCTTACAATCCACAGCTGGCCAAGGAGCAGCAGCAAATGGTCCCTTAAGTGTGCTATTATCACTTATTTATATAGAGACATCAATGTACATGGTGTATTACAAGTAAAACAACAAAAAGTGGGTCCTGCCAAAGGCATACAATCTAAAATTCATGTGGGCACACACACACACACACAGAGAGAGAGAGAGAGAGGAAAGGAAGAAGAAAATCTAAAGCTACACAATAGAATTGTAAAACAAATTATCCAAACCAACTCCAAGAATAAGGAGCAACCAACAAAAAAAAAAAAGATGAAGCCAACCCAAGGAAGAGGAAAATCACATTTGGGTGCAGTCTAGAATTCCTTCCTAAATCTCAAGTGGGCCACTAAAGATAAAAAAGAGCTGAATGAAAGCAGAGAGCTAGATTATGTAGAGCTTTAAACATGAAAACAAGAAGCTTATATTGAGTCCTACAAAGATTGTGTAAACTGATGCGATATCAAAAGTATGGTAATATAATTGAAAAAAAATGTGCCAAAAAGATACTCTTAAAAACAAAATATTGGATGAAATCGAGGAACAAAGTGTCCTTGACTTCAGACCTCACAACCTCTGAGGATGCTTGCCATAGATGCAGGTGATATGTCAGGAGATAATGCTTCTAGAACATGGCCATATAGCCCAAAAAAGCTACAACAACCCAGTGATTCCAGCCATGAAAGCCTTTGACAATACATTGTCCCAAATCAGTTATTTAACATATGAAAAAATAAATCCCACAAGCTGTTCTCCCTATACCACAGTGGTTCTTAACCTGTGAACTGCAGACCACGAGTGGGCTGCAAGGACGAAAATGTGGCCCACAAGCCTCCTTACTATTTATTTTATTTCCACTCCTTTCACGCCACCTGCCACTCCTTCCCTGTTGCTGACCATGGCATATGCACTGTATCAGAAACTAGAGCTGATGTGGTCAATCCAATAAAGTTTTCTGAATCAGTGCCCCAAACAGAATCTAAACATTACCAAAAACTGATTTGTAACTCTTTTGGTCCTAATGTTGGAGAGTGGTCCCTGGTCAAAAAAAAGAAAAGAAAAGAAAAGAAGATTGGGAACCACTGCTATACCAGGAAGGAGGAATAAAATGCAACAGTAATGCATTAATTAGCCATTTCATAACACTTCTATGACAGCTGATACTAACTAGCTGCATGATGCAGCTAACAGACCCTGCCTAACAATAGGATCAACCCTAATACTTTAAAAATAGCACCTGTGCAACAGATCCATTATGTTGTTTCAGGCAAAATCTGAACATGGGCTCATTCTAATATGGCAGCAAATGATGATTATGGCATTTCTATTCTTATGTAAAGAGATAAAAATAAAGAACCCTTCCTACCATAGATTTGTTATCCTGTTCTATTGTAAGAATACCTATCTCTGTACTGTACCCAAAGTGATCAGTGGGGACCTCTGGTTTCTTGCTCCCCATTTTTTGTACTCAGAAATGTTATCAGCAATGCCTTAATCCTCTCCTGCTTTTCCACCTTCCAATTTTACTATCAGCTTTCTGTTTACTGGCAGAAGTAAACTTTCACTCCCCCTACCTTTTACCTTAAGAAGCTTAGCAGCAGAACCTTAGCCATTTCCCATGTTTTTCTACCTACCAGCAGTATATGAGAAAGTATTTTCTCACTTTCTAGCTGAATTATATATACTGCCTGGTTGTGCCCCGACGAGTTATTTATGAAACCTCATTTTGCCTTTTAGGAAGCTCTCCTTCAAATTTTGAGTTTTCCACTTGAAACTTGGCCCTGCAGTGTAGACAACAACTCAAAACACCAGAAAATTAGAGGGCATCTATCACAGTATCCTGAAGTGTTCTAGCACCCAGAGACAGACAATCATATGGAAAGACATTATCTTTGAAGATGATAGTTTTTTGTGAGTTTTTCTACTCCGTAGCAAAGGTGAAGAAATGTGGATTTCCATGTGTTTGAGTCCTGAAGCATATCAATAGTTCCAAGTTAAGCTGTTTGTTGTATTAACAATGAATAATAATAATAATAATAATAATAATAATAATAATAATAATAATAATAAAAACTTTATTTATACCCCGCTACCATCTCCCCAAGGGACTTGGTATGGCTTACATGAGGCCGAGCCCACAATACATCAATAATAAAAGCAATAACAAACAAACAATACAAAACAGTTAAAATAAATCTCATAAACAAAAAATAAGCAACTTTTATTTAAATTCAAATGGTCCACTGGATCGTCTGTCTTTTTGATCAACAAAAGGATTCAGACATTGGATTTTGGCTCTCTGGATCTTTTTCAGCATGGAAAAAGGATTTGGCACAGTCTGGCTTTAGCCCAGGACATGGAACTGAAACAGCCTTGGTTGCCTTAGTGGATGATCGTCGCAGAGAACTGGATGGGGGAGTGTGTCTCTGTTGGTTCTCCTGGACCACTCAGCAGCCTTCGATGCCATAGACCACAGTATCCTTCTGAGACACCTTGCAAGAATGGGGCTTGGGGGCACTGTTCTATAGTGGCTCCAGTGCTTCCTAGAGGGTTGTTCTTAGAAGGTGTTGTTGGGGGACACCTGCTTGGCTCACAGCTGCTGTTCTGTGGAGTTCCACAGGGTTCAATATTGTTGTTTAACATCTACATGAAGCCACTGAAAGAGATCATCTGGAGTTTTGGAGTTCAATGTCATCTGTATGCAGATGATGTTCAACTCTGTTACTCCTTTCCACCTATTGCTAAGGAGGCTGTTCAGGTCCTGAACCAGTGCTCTGAAGGTCTGGATGAAGGTGAACACATTGAAATTGAATCAAGACAAGACAGAGGTACTTCTGGTCAGTTGTAAGGCCAAACAGGGTATAGGGTTACAGCCTGTGCTGGATGGTGTTACACTTCCCCTGAAGACACAGGTCCACAGCTTGGGAGTTCTCCTGGATTCATAGCTGAGCTTGGAGTTTTGGAGATGGCTAGGGGGGCTTTTGCACAATTAAAGCTTGTGTGCCAGTTGTGCCCATACCTTGGGAAGTCAGAGTCAGCTGCAGTAGTCCTCACTCTGGTTACATTCCAAATAGACTAGTGCAACATGCTCTACTTGGGGTTGCCTTTGAAGACTGTTCGGAAGCTTCAAGTCGTCCAACAGGTGGCAGCCAGATTTCTCACCAGAGCAGGGTACAGTGAATACACAACCCCCGTTACGCCAGCTCCACTGGCTGCCAGTCTGCTACCGAGAACAATTCAAAGTGCCAGTTTTAGCCTATAAAGCCCTAAACAGTTCCGGGCCAGTTTACCTGTCTGAACATATCTCCCTCTATGAACCATCTCAAAGATTAAGATCATCTGGGGAGGCCCTGTTCTGAGTCCCACCACCTTCACAGGCGAGGTCGGTGGGATGAGAGACAGGGCCTTCTCAGTGATGGCCCCTAAGCTATGGAATTCCCTCCCCAGTGAAATCAGATCAGCTCCTTCTCTCCTGACCTTCAGCAGAAAACTTAAGCAGTGGCTTTGGGACCAAGCTTTTGACAAGTAATTAGAGCAGTGCGATAAGTCACTATGAAGCAATGTGATTGACAAATGGAATGGCCCTGGATTATGTCTTGGTTGCCATGATTTTAATTGTTGTTTTTAATAATTCATGTTTTAATTGTTTGGGTTTAGTTGTAATGGCTTATTTGATATATGTGTGTATGGCATCAAATTGCTGCCTGTTGAATCCTCTTTGGGTTGAGAAAGGTGGGATATAAATATGGCAAGAGGCAATGGAAGATGTAGCCTAAAACATCTGCATGGCCAAAGGTTTCCACCTTTGTACTACAGGAAATGAGCTTTCAAAAAGCCAGCTCTTGTGACTGGAGCTTATTCAGACAAGATCCTATACTTGGTCCTCACCTTGTTC